CGTCAAATAGGAAATTCCGATAAAACCAACCCAGTCATACCCTAACCCCGCACCTGTCACCCGCTCATGGGCCTGCTCACTATGCAGGCCCCTAACAACCCACATAGCAGAGCCGCCTAGCCAACCTAGTGGACCAGACCAGCCCGCGGTGGCGGCACCAGACAAGGGTAACTCACCGGCGCGACCTGCTCCGGCCAACTGCAGGGGCCATCTGCTCCCCTACCGAGAGAGGCGCTGCCACCAGCAAGCCCAAGTCTTCAGCGCCTGACACGAGGGCGTCTAGCAGAGCCGCAAGGTACGGCTAACCCGCAGCCATTGCCGGGACTCGCGCCCCAGCCCGCTGTCCACCGCGTGCGCCCATTGAACTTCGAACTGCCCGCCCTCATTGACGGCATCATCGGCAAACTCCGCCCAACGGAACGGTGACGGGCATGGGACCCAGGTCGTTCCCCACGTGGGTGAAGTAGCGATCGTGCGTCCATCCCCACGGACGAGCGCACCGGCAGCCCCGGCCATCCTGTCGGCTAGGCGACCGCACCGGGACATGACAGAATTCAAAATAGCCTTTCCCTTCGCCCAAGAGGCGCGTAGAAAGCTGAGAGCAAAGAGCCCTTTTCCAAAAGCATTCACTTTAGTACACTTCTCTAAATTAAAACAAAAGGCCAGCAACACACAAGGTGAAGAACCAATAACATGAAGGGAAAAATGAAGCTTCATACACCGTGTATCCTACTAGCAGGTTGCCACCCGAATCAGTTGAATAAATCTGAGTGGATTTATTGTCTTGGTGCATGCTGTCCATTTCATGCAAGCAATAGTTCATAAGTTGCAACTCTAGTGCTAGGAAGAGAAACCACAGGATGCATATCAACTTTCTGTATGATTCCTGGATATTGGATGAAGAAAATATACTGGAATTCTTGCAAAAAAATATTTTTATTTGAACTTTGAATTTATGGTTTATCACTTCATCCAAAATTCACAACAAAATTTTTTGAAAATCATGAAACTAGTCATAAGAATAATAAATGAAATCCAAAACATTGGTTACAGCAGGGGCCTCCATCTCCCGCGTCGATCTCTCATCAACACAATTCTGGATGCTAATGTCTATGAATTACATCAAACTGGTGACTGCTATTGTGTGTGATTTTGCAAGTGCACGAGCAGTGGACCATAGTGGAGATGGGTGCCGCCGAGTGCACCAACGACATCATGGCTATTTTTCGAGGCATGCCAGTAACCACGCTCACCATAACATTGTGTCTAATTATATATTTTGCACCAATAGCCATCAAAAAACAGGACCTTGCATTGGCGACACCTCCAGGCCGCCAGCGCTAGAGGCTCCTTCTCTGTATCTCCTCATCTCACCATTGTTGATGCGCTACCGGGCATAACCGGCCGCGGGGCTTGCCCCTGGCATGGGGCGTGTAAGGCCCTAGCGTTGTGGGGGCCCGCCAGACAAGGCGGAGAGCCGGAGATGAAGAGGGCAGTGGCTCTCAGTGGGCTTCTGACTAACACACCGTAGCAACAAATGGTGGCTCACCCTACTCCATTGTCTTCCATTCCTGTAGCAGCAACATGAGCCGATGTGTTTGTGCCGGCATCCAGGCTACTTCGACCATCGTTTCTCGTGGTAGTGTGTGTGGACTCATGGCAACATGGTGCTGGCTTTGGTAGCCGCTGTCTGGCGCATTTGTGACATCCATGCGCGACGTTTGTCAGCAGAGCTATGTAGCTGACGGCTTCATGTCAATCTGGAGGGTGAAGCACATGCAGATCGGCTAGAGCTTCATGTATACAAGTGTTCCGTCAATGACACATGTCCCATAAATAGCGGTCCCAGGCCAGATCAACAAATACAATAGGAAAGTCCCAGATGGTGATGAGGAAGTGGTCAGAAGCCATGAGGAGGCAGCCCTCAACATGCTTCCAGCATTTTCTCCTACGTTTTTTCTTCTTTATGTAGGCTGATTTGTTAAGCATCGATGATTAACTTTGCTTGCCATCACTGAATAATCAATCTTATATGGTTGTGCACATCACCCAATGTAGAAGCGAGGGATTGATCTACCTTTAAAACAAATATCGCACCAATAATTAACAAAAAGCCTAGGATACGGCCCAGCCAGCCGCGCGCCACCCACCTTCCGCATGAGCAAATTACTTGGATAAAACATTTAGTAGATTTGTGATGGTGACTTGTGTTTTAAACACTCCCTTACATTCATAAATATAACATGTTATGATATTTTTATTATAAACTACATACAGATTAAAATGAGTGAACAAACACACTAAAGTGTGTCTATGTACATCCGAAACATCTTATATTTGTGAATGGAGGGAGTAGATATGCATAGCTGCCTTAAGAAGGTGGTGAAATGAAAATCAAAGTAGCTCTATTAGCCCAAAACAGAGGCCGCACCAGGCAAAAGATATTCCAATAGTAACATATTAGGCGGCCATGACACGTAGTTAGGGTAGCTTCCGGACGGTTAGGCATACAATGTCATCTGCGAGTATAGTACACACGTTCAATTGTGTGGAATCATGTGAACTTTGTTCAACACAGTTTCGTCCATAAGTTATGTGTGAGAAATGTAAAACATATTGTGTGCAGTTGAGCTCATAAATCATGTGCAGCGTATCTCACACATGGTTTATTTATCAAACGTTGTGAGGTGCCCGCCAACATCAAACACGATTCATCCATGTAACCTGTGCGCAAGACATTGCACACAATTGTTTACTAGTGATCGTGTGCGATGTGCAAATAGTCACACCCACGACTTTTATATTGTGTGTGTGTATCGCCATGTATAGTTCATCACTAGCGTGTACGATTGGGTTGGGGGGAGGCTTAACAATACAATTTTGCACTAGTGCAAACATAGGTTAGCAAAGACATAATACCGAAAAAGGGTTTCCCCCGCTTTGTATTCCAAAGCAAACCACCATAATACATATCACAATGCTGGGGCAAGCAGCACATCAGGCCCAAAAAAAAGAAATAAATGCCAACAGCGGCAGCTCGACAAAGCGAGGCAGAACCGCGATCGCAGCGCCCTCCGGAACAAACCACCACAGCTCGAGGCTCCGATCTACCGCGAACTAAGCAGCACCTCCAAGAAGGAATGCGACGCCGACGACGCTGCGCCCGGACAAGTCCTAGGGTTTCCCCCAGTGCGCGGAGGGAGGTGGGGGATAATTACTCCCGACACCCTCCAAGAAGGGATAGTGGCACCCGCTGGTGTCACCGCATCGGAGCCGGACGAACCGGCAAGGATTTCTCCCGCACGCCAAACCCCACCGGCCAATCGGAGCCAACCAACCAAACCACCGCCCAACCATGCGTCATCACGGTTACGCCGCCACCAACGCCGTCTTGCTGCAAGCACCACCACGAGGTCAAGAAGACCGGAGAGAAGATCCAAGCAACGGGAGCAGCAGCATCAAGGCCGAGCAGGAGGGAACCACCTCCACCGCCGTCGTGCGGGAGGCTCGCGCCTCCGGCACCGTCGCGGTAGCCGTCCGGACACGGCAGCGGGGCATACCAGGGCACCCCTGGCCCGGCCAGGCCCGAAATGGGCCCGCTAAGCCCCGCCGACCATGCTGCAGCAGGCTGGCATCGATGCCACCAGCCCCCGCCGATCATCGCCGCTCGCCACCGCTTCCTGATGGCCGCGCCAACGCCACGCCAGACGCCGGCCCGCCCAGGCCCAGATGGGACCCGAAGGGCCCAGATCTGGGCCGGGCGAGCGCCGTCAGCCCGCGCCGCTGCGCAGCCCCGCCGCCAACGGCGCCGCCGCCGCCCGGAGCTCGCCCCCGTCGCCGCAGGAGACCCCGCCGCCGCACAGGACCGCCGCCGCCTGAAGACACCGCCCGGAGCG